ACAACAATAGAGTACATTATGGAAATCTGTTCTTTTTGACTTGAACAGCATGTCAACGGCCGCATCAAACAGAATTAGCAGGTTTAAACACTTCCAAACTCCATCTATGAGACTCAAACAGAATTTGGTGAACTACATGGTTCTAAACTCCATCATGACAATTTTTTATAATAATAATAATAATAACAACAATAATTTAAAAAAACCTCCAGTGCAACAGCAGCTAAAAATTGTGAGATTTCCACATAAAGACACATTGTAACCATACAGCAAAACAGAGCTGTGATAACAGCTCTAGAAAAAAAAAAAAGAGCAACACAAAAAAAAAAAGAGCAATAAATGATTGCTTAGCTTCAACAGAAAAAGACACACCTTTGACGCAACATTCCCAGGAACCATTGGTGAAACAAGAACTTGCAATCTGTTCCACTTTTCTCATCTTAATTTGGTGTGATCTTAACCCTGAAGATAATAGTATAACAACAATAAGAAGAACAAACAAAATGGCATGAAAATAAATGGCTACAAAGGACCAAAACAGATACAAAATAATAGACTTTTGGTTTTCTAACAGCTGAAGACAAAAAGTCTTGCTAAAACCTCTCTTAGCACGCACTCACTCACAGATCAACACAAACACAACATGGAAGAAAAACAAACGGAAGGTCAAGAATCAATACAAACGACAAAATATCATCACAGCTTGAAATCAGCCAACAATGATGAAAGTAAAAATGCATATTAAGATCAAAAAAGTCAGGAGACATAAAAAGGCAAAAGTGTGTCTTTTTCTAAAAACACAATGTATTGGGGAAAAAAAAAAATACAGAATATATATATATGTAAAAAATCATAAATAAAAGAAAATACTTGTCTCCCCTCCCCCAACCCACAACAAAATGTCAAATCAATGGCAGTTACTTAACATGCAATTGATATACTTACAGCACTTGACAAACTATTTCTCCGAACTACCAACCCCAAACACACCCCGTCCCAGTACAATCCTTAAATATGTCAGCTCATTGAAGAAAAACAAAGGAAAACACTCTCTCTATTGATCGCTCTAGCTGAGGAAGTCATATTCACTCGCTCGTCACAGAGATAAAGAGACTCCAGTAGTTGTGTATATACAGGAAGGGGGGGGAGGGATGCAAACGGACTTGATTTGAGTGACTGCATAGTGAGTATTTGGTTTAATTACAGATGGGGCATTTAAAAAAATAACAACAATTCTAAAAAAGTAACAAAGACTCATTCAACATGATGACGGCAAAGTACACGCCTGAGCACACACACCAAAAATAACAGTGATGCTGCCACACACACACACGCGCGCACACACATACAGATAAACAATAATGCAAATGAAACAGCAGCACACACTGGTTTAGTTAACATAATTTGGTGTTCAGGGATGTGTACTACTACCGCCCGCAGAAATGGGTTCGGTATGTCTGTCCTATTCACAGAAACGCCGATTTAAAAAAATAAAACACAAATAACTGATGCTTCGATTTCAGAATCAATTAAAAGCAAATAAAAAATAATAATGATAATTACAATGAAAAACAAATTCAAATAGTGCCAGAAAACAGTGAATGGAAGTACACTTTAAACCAAGCATAAACCATAAAGATTAGCATCTCAGAGATAATCTTTCCTTAGAGGTGTGTACGGAAGCTTGTTTCTGCCCCCAAAAAAAGAGGTAATTGCAACTTTTTATCTCGCAATTCTGACTTTTTTCACAAAATTGCGAGTTAATAACAGAAGTCACAATTGCAAGTTTATATATCACAATTTTCAAATTGACATTTGAACTCTCGATATTTCGTGAGATGTGTTTATTTCTTGCAATTGCAAAGTAATCTTACAATTTTTTTTTTTTTTATTAAATAAAGTCAGAATTGCAAATATAAGTTTTTCTCGCAATTGCGAGTTTATAGCAGAATTCTTACATTTCTCTTGCAATTGCAATTGTAAGAAAGTCATATCTCGCAATAAATATCTCGAAATTCGTTTTTTGCTTCTCAGATTTTCTCAGAATTTGGAATTGTGACAAAATAACATCAGAATTGCAAAATATAAACCTGAAATTTTTACTTTTTTCTTGCAATTGCGAGTTAAATCTAACAATTTCTTATTTTTTCCCACAGAATTTCGAGAGGTAAACCCGCAATTGTGAAAAAGTCAGAATTGCGAGTTTATTTCTCGAAATTCTGAGGAAAAAGGTCTGAATTGAGAGATATAAATTCTCAATTGCAATTTTAATGAAACAAGCTTCCATAGGTGTGTGTGCCAGCAAAATAAAAGCCCAACAGAGAAGGGCGACGGACTGAAAAATAACATATCACTAAGATGCCATTTCCAGTACCTCACCCGCCACAGTCTCGCAGGAAATTACATACATGAAGCTGTGTATCCCTCAGAACAATCCAGTATCATCTAGAATAACAATAATCATCCTAATGACAACAACGCCACTGGTTTGAATTTGTTTTATTGATGACACCTTTGGTGTGTAATGCTGCGGTTATAGGTCTAAGGTCTAATGAGAGAATGACGGACAGACAGACAGGCAGGTACCACAGTATCTGTGATGAATATCAACAACAACCAGGAAACCAGTGTTATGTTGACAGCAAGAGTCCTGTTAGAGATTCTATTTGGCATGTGAAAAGAGCCAAGAAACTATTGGGAGATAAATAGTTACAGCTCATTGTTAAGTATACTGTAAGAAATTAAACCCTGCGTTTTACACATTTCCTGTGTTTTATTGGCTCTTTTGATTAATTTGTCAATCCAATTCGAAGGAAAACTTCCAAATGGACTCATGATCAGATCCAAAGTGATGAATTTGGGACAAAATCTACAGAATTCTTTTACTAATTATGTGTTATTGCATAGACAAACAAATTAGCATAAATCAAAGCAGCCAAAATATTTAATGAGGTGAATAATAACTGACTTTTTGATGAATTCATCCACCGCAGGACGGACACAGGAGGACAATTACAAACATATCTGTCTGTGTGACTCGCAGCTAATGGTGTAAAAAGGGAAATCTAGCTCAAATATATATAGATATTACCAGCTGGTGTCTGTTATTTTGTACAAATAAATGGAAGTCGATCTTATTAGTAGCTCAGAGTGAGCCGTGACGTTTGTGAGTTGGCATAGTTTCAAAAACAAACTATTGAGATATAAATATAGATATAGGTAAATAGAGATTCTCAATTTACTTCCTTGCTTGCTTTCTCTTTGTCTCTTAATGAATCACATCATGCGTCTCACATGTAATCATTCTCGTATTTGGTAAATGTGTAGAAGACATTGCAGTGTTTTATGCATTTGGTTTAAAAAAAAAAAGAAAGAAAAAAAGAATCGTCCTTTGGGGAATATAATCAATGAGAGCAGCATCTAAAGTAAACAGTAGCAGCAGTAAGATAATAAATAAATATAATAATAATAATAATAGCAGACAATAAGAACAAAGTTTCAAGGATAATGAACAAAACCGTAAGATGCAAAACACAAACTAAAAATAAAAATTGGTACATTGGTTCCAAAACGATTGAAAGCTTTTATGCAACGTCCAGCTAGCTCAAAACACAGCGATCTATAACACCACCAACACCTGTTACCGTCAGCCCTGAAATCTCATCAAACCTCTCAAAAACGAGCCAATACTTTCTATAAGACTTTCTTTCATACTTTCAAATGCCTTTCTCCTGATTTTCTCTCCCGTCCCACTACATTAATTACTCTTTCTTCAGGCCCTTATATAACACCATACTTCCTCTCAACGTACCATCACCCTCTAAATCTTTCTTTGCTGATTTTAGTCATATTTCCCCCTCCTCACGCTCAGTCTAGCAGTGATTTGGTGAATCTCGAACTCTACAGCTTTGGTTGTGAAAGTCGCTGAACATCTTCAGCGTGACCCTTGAGCAGATGCTGAAATCCTCTGAGAACAACAGCTTGGCAGGAAAAAAAGCAGTGCCGTGTCAAAAAAAAATGCTTTGGTTTGCGGGAACTCAAATACTCATGGGAAAGAGAGAACGGTGAAGAGACTGAAATAATGAACGGCTGAGTCGGGTGATAAAAGCAGAAATGTTCCTACTCACAAAATGAGACGTTTTATATTCTTGTGGAGGGAACAACCTGCAAAAAGTCCCCCGCTTGTCTCTGAGTGACTGACAACATCTCTCATGTTTGCTTTTGGCGACTTTGATTGTGGTTTCACCCTCAGACACAGCTAAATCCTGTTAAAAATCCCCATTTCTAACACTCGTCTTCCTGAGGTGTGCATTGTTATGACTTTACAAACTCTGGGCTAATTTTTTTGTGTGTTATCTAGTGATAGACCGATACATAGTGCAAAATTTGGCAATTTTGAGATCATCGCCATTGGCTGATGAGATATCAGCATCGCCAGGAGAAGTGAAGTGTGTAATTTGTGCATGACTACCATTAACGGAATTGCACAAATAATGATGTTATTTATAAACGGTATAATAATGTTTTTCTGAACAATCCCCCCCATCTGCCATTTGCTGGGTAAGGCTGCTCAAACAAACACAAATTCCTCATTTATAGATGATTTGGCCTTTTAAATTGGGATAAGAAGTACTGTATCGTCGAGAAAATGATACACTGCACCTTTAAAAACACCCTTATCGGTCAACCACTAGTTTTTTTCTTAATATACAATCTTCTTTTTTAGCCAATATATCTATTTCCATACATGAAAGTCCAGGCCAAACTAGTTATAAAAATCTAAACATCAAGGATTAGAAGTTCTACCACTAAGTATCACTAACGCTTTAAGTACGTGTTACAATCACTGAAACGTCTGCCGATTTCTGCTAGCATAGAAAAGAACACTTCTATAAAACATAATTTATGATATATCACGCGGCTATTATCTCGCTAGTTTCTATTTCCTTGGATTCAATTAATGGCTGTGAACAGAAGGTGTACTTGAACCGTACACTAGGACTGATAAACGGATAACACACTCACACACACACACACACCATTGCACAGTGTTGTTCGACTACTCTGTTCAGTCCCTGAGTAAGGGGCTACGGAGGACCTCATGATCTGCGGATTAGGAAGTTAACTAAATAGACTGTACGCTTACTCTTGTGTGGCTAATCTTTATATGACGGTCAATGCGCGGAGGTTTAGTGAAACAGTGTTACTGCAAATGTGCGTGCGCGCGTGTGTCACAGTGAGCGTGTTAAGACTGCAACCTGTAATGGTCCATCCTGTTCAATGGGTGGATGAGAAGGACAAAAATATTTCAGATTTACATCAAACCTGCCCAGGATTGTCTGTCGATCAGTCAAACTCCAAAATGAACATTCTAGCTTTCGTTTCTGCCATATTCTCCCCTCTCAATCGGTCCATTTCCACTCCATCGTGTCTTTTTCGTTAACGTAATTTACATTTCAAACCTGTCCATCCGTGTCTCTAAATCAACTCCTCAACATCGCATCATTCTCTCTCTGCCGTTCTCCGCCTGGCTACCTGCTGAAGAGAGAGTGGAGCTGGTGATGGTTGAAGCACTGGCTGCTGCGAGGAGACTCTGTGCGCTCCATCACCGTCTGGAACCAGCCCGCCACGTCTACCTCGGACACCTCGTAACGACGGATAAAACTGTGTTCCTAAAGAAAAACAAGACCAAATGATCAGAACAGATCATGATACTGAACTGAGCACTACAACTAATGCTCGAGTTACAGGGGTGGTTGAGACTTACAAGCAGCTTGTGGTATTTTGGCCTTTTTCTGTGATCCTTTGTGAGACTGCAGAGATAAAGAAAATTAAGATCTGTGCAGAACTCACACACAAACACTATTGACCCATACGGGTGCTAAAACTTTGCCATGTTTATGTAGCTGTATGTGGGTGTACCAGTCTTTGACGAAGGACTGAAAGTCAGGGGAAAAGCCCATGCCGAGAGGAAGGACTGGTGGGTCCTCTTGCAGAACTTTGGTGAGAACCTCAAAGTCTGTTTTGCAGTTCTTGTAAGGAAACTGCCCCGTGGCTAGCTCCACCTACAGGCGGGGAGGAATATAAATAATCACTTTTAGTTATTCAAATAGATTGTGTTTTGAAATACAGCTCTTTAATTACATTTACAAAACCATCTAAAACTTTGGGGGTTGGTAAGATTTGTAAGGTTTTTTACAAGAAGTCTCAACAATGCTGCGTTTATTTGGTCAAAGTTACAGTAAAACATTAATTTTGTGAAATATTATTGTATTTTAAAATAACTGTTTTGCATGTTAATATATTTTAAAACGTAATTTATTCCTGAGATGACAAAGTTGAATTTTCAGCATCATTACTCCAGTCTTCAGTGTCACATTCTCTTATGAGAAATCATTCTATTATGCTGATTTAATGCACTATTATTATTGGTGCTCTATTATAAAAAGATTTTATTATTATCAATGTTGAAAACACTGTGTTTGCTGCTTAATCTTTTTTGTGTAAACTAATACATTCTTTGATGAATAGAACCTTCACAAAAACACGCATTTATTTGAAATACAAATCTTTTGCAACATTATAAAATGTCTTTACTATCATTCCTTCCTGACGAGGTAAACGAGGGTCGGCTCAACAAAATGTAGGCAGAAGAACTCACCAGAGAAATGCCAAGACTCCAGACGTCAGCTCTGATGTCATAGTCTGGCTTACTAGGGTCCGGAGGGTCTATTCTCTCAGGCTAAAAAAAAAAAAAAAAAACACAAGAGATGAAACATGCATGATGCATAATATGGACAAGGCTGCCACTGAGTAAAACATTAATTCCTCCATTTTGTCCAACTTATGCTTTAATAAATTAGCATTTTTTATTAGCGACCTACAAATACTGCAGAACTTTATATATACACATTTCAAATTTTACCCCATAATGTTACTTTGTTATATATTTTTCAAAATCCTTTAAGACTTTGAAATCCCAGTGTATGCTCACCGCCATGTATGCAGCACATCCGGCGCTGCGAGTCTTGGCCTTAGAATCCACAAGTCGGCCACTAATGCCAAAATCACACAGTTTGATCTGCCCTTTGTCATCCAACAGGATATTAGATGGCTTCACGTCTCGGTGAATGACACCGTGTTTCTCTTTCAGATAAAGCAGAGCCTTTACAATCTACATACAAAAAGAAAAAGTGTGAGATGAAATGGGATCTGAGAGTTTCAACTTGCAAACAGACCAATATCTAACCAATAATAGATGGTATTCTGTTAAAACGAAGTCTTACGGCCACGGTCATGTTTCCCAGAATGGCCTCTGGTATGGGCCCCTGGATCCTCTTCTTCAGCTTCTCTGCACACGTACCCATTAGTTCCATGGCGATGAACACATCCGTCTACCGAGAAAGAGACACCTTTAAATAATTCAATATATTTAAAGTGGCCCCATTATGCTATTTTAATGGTTCCTAATTTGGTAATTAGGTTGTAATAAAGGTTGTCTGATACTGGTTCGTTTGAAGATTCAGTCTCTCTAAACCCCTCCTTTCTACGAGCCTACCCTGCTCTGATTAGTCACACGGACCAGTCTGTTGTGATTGGTCGACCGCTTACAGTGTGTGTCATCATAACCAAAATGCCTATTACCATATCTGAATTTCTCCTCTGGAGGCTTCCTCAACGCTTGATACACAGTTATAGGAACGATGGTCATGGTTTGCTCCTTATCAATGCCACCACATCCTCATCGTTCTTTTTTAAGAGCATGGAAAGATGATTCACAGCGCAGACCAAACTCTTCCAGGCCTCAGCTACAAATACAGTGTTTGAAGGTGGTTCAAAGTAGACGTCGCTTGTGGCCAGCCAATGAAGACCATAGACAGGCATTATGCAAATTTGTGAAATCGTTACAAAGGTATGTAACAGGAAGTGAGACTGGAATTACTGACGACTTGTTTCAGCAGTTCAGAATCGATTCTTTCTTTTAGGAGACACTAACTATATTTGTCGTACACTTTGATGATTAAAACTTTGAAGCCTTTTACATTCACAAACAACTATATTACACACTGCATGAAATGTAATCTTTGAAAAAGAATTAGCATCCAAACTCTGGAACAGTCTTCCTAGCCTTGTTCGGGAAGCAGACTAAAAACACATCTCTTTAACCTGGCATACACATGACAACATTATCATATTTCTATCGTTCAAATCCATTTAAGGATTATTAGGCAGCATAAATTAGGTCAACCGGGAACACGTCCTATAACACCAGATGTTCTTGTTACATCGTAAGAAGAATGGCATCTACGCTAACATTAGCCTGTCTGTCTCATCCCGAGGTTACCGTAGTCAGCCGGATCCGGGTCGTATCCAGATCAGATGGTGGACCTGCACCTAGACACGACCTCATGGCAGCCCTGAATGTCAGCAGAGACCGTGTCTACTAGAACACTCCCCTGTGAAGACCTTGTCGACACGACAGCCATCGGCACAGATCCTCAGCAAAGACCTCAAGAACCAGACCCCAATGGGCAGCTTCGTCTCCATACCAGCGTGATGAATCCCATCTTCAAGCAGAAGGAACTGAATGAAATATTTTGAATGCTACCGATCCACAATCTGACTTCTGACGCAGCCTGAATCATAATCACACCGTGTTCGTTCGTTGGCCAGAGGAGAACTGACCCCTGGGTTCTCCCAAGGTTTTTTTCTTCATTTCTGTCACCTGATGGAGTTTGGGTTCCTTGCCACGGTCACCTCTGGCTTGCTTAGTTGGGGACACTTAATATTCAGCAATATTACTGATTTGACTGCACAGACACTATTGGATGAAAACTCAACTTAGCTGGATGATGACATCACTGTTTTCTGCAGAGCTGCTTTATAGCTCAATTGAACTTATTTCATAAATGATGGACTTGACTTTACACAGTTACTGAACCGAAATGAATCAGCACTGAACTGACTTCAATTGAATAATGACTGTTTACGGTTGTCTTATTAGAGCAGCGGAATTTAATTCTGTTTGCAGAATTTTCCTGTTTATCACTGTAAAGCTGCTTTGAAACAATTTGTATAGTATAAAGCAATATATAAATATAGGTGACTTGACACTCACATTGGTGACTATTGCTCCATAGCACTGAATGATGTACGGACAGTCATGACTCTTCAACACAACGTCCAGATCCATGAGGATTCTCTTATTCTCGTCTTTATTACCCGTCCTCCTCATTTGCTGCACAGAAAAATAGGGGAACACAATCAAACACTACTAGAACAACACCAGTGATGTAATTAGTAAACAGTAATTACTCCTGCCTTAACTGCTGTTTTAATGACTCAGTAATTACAAGGAAAGTTCAAGAAGACAAACACATGGATATACAAACTCCATCATTCAAAGATTTGAATAATAATATTTTCTGGAATTTCTTTTGACTTTAGCACAAAGACAACATAAATGGCAATTATTTGAATTTGTTATATCACACCTACTATTTTTATTTGTTTTATAATTAATAATGAGGTCCCCCGCAAAGGCATCATCATATTTAGGGGGTCCTTGCTCAAAAACTTTGAAAACTCCTGGTTTAATCCCATCCAGAAAAAGACTAACTTTGCATTATCAGTAGTGATGTGAGAAACAAAGCGCTTCGAAACTTTGAACCAATTGATTCACAAAATGATTCACTGTTTCGAAGCGTTCGAAACGCCACATGCTGGTGTTGCCTGTTGGTCAGAAAAGTGTAAATGCAGCGAAAACTCAGCTCAAACATGCATAAAAACACCTTTCAAAAAAGAAAGTCATTAGCGACCGTTTAATTTAAGGTGTAATCCATTAAATGTAATTACCAAATCATCTAATACCACTAAATATGAAGTGTCTCCATAATATGTGTTATTTTATTAAATCGTAATAAAGCTTATTTAGTTTGTTTTCCGGAGAGCTTGGTTAATCAGACCAGTAAGAGACTTTTATCTACAACTCTTACTTTTTGTTATACAAATGTGTCATTAAATGTATAAAATTGTATAAAACTGATCCGAGATCAGGTACAAATCACTGGTTCACAGAGATCATCGCCCCCTCTAGCGGTGAACCATTGAAATTTTGCAACGTTTCGAAATAGTTATGACGTAACGAACCCTCGTTTACCGAAGTCCCATGACTATGGCAGTTTTATACACGCTTCATATCAATGGTTCGAAGCAAATGATCCGCAAAGGTTTCGAAGCTTTTGCAAAGTGCCCATCACTAATCATCAGCCCCAATAGATTGAGCAGAGAATCCGAGCGCTGAACTGACCTTGACAGCGATGACATGGCCAGTCTTCTTAAAGCGAACTTTAAACACCTGTCCACAGGTTCCACTGCCGATCTCCCCCTCACTGATCAGATCCGTCACCTCTGCAGGGTAACGCTGGAGAACACACACACACACACACACAAGAGGTCGGGCACTTTTCCCACTTTCAATACCGTCAGGATCTATAAAGACAGACTCTGACTGGTGACTCACCTGTCCGTCAATCTTCAGATATCCGGTTTGTTTCATGATTTCCTGAAGCTTTTGATCGATTTCAGCACTGAAGATAAAACCATAAGGAACAGATTAACACACTAAGACCTTTACTTTCTTAAAATGAGAACTGAGCACACTACACTATGCTGTGCGTGTGACATACTTCTCTAGGCTCTTCTGTAGGCAGTAGGGCGGGGTGGGAAGCGTGAGCATTTGTCGGGGTCTGCTAGGGTACGAGGGGTGTTGAGGAGAGCTTTCTGAAGAGGATGAGCGACTTCCTCCATCGTTGGCCAATGGTAACTGTAAAGCTGTAAAGACAGAACAGAAGGTTGGAACGAGCGGGAGAATGGGCAGAAGACAGCAAGTCAGTGACCGTCAATTGATGGCCATTACAGGGGCAAATGTTCACGAAGTTCACCCTAAATTAAGAGCCTCAGGTCTGAGGGTCCAGAATCTGACAGCTGATCCAGATTCACTCTGAGGTCTATTACACCCCTCATCAGTGTTGGGGGTAACGAGTTACAAAGTAACGGATTACAGTAACGATATTACTTTTTTGGGTAACGAAGTAAAGTAACGCATTACACTAAAAATATCGGTAACTACACTACTTTACTATACTATAGGAACGCGCTTTCCTGCGTTGCCCAAGCCGTGTTTGCTTGTGTGTAAAGTTCTGTCTAGTGGTGCGTGCGCACCGTTGCCATAGAGATCAATTTGAGTGACATAGCTGCCGGTGCGAAGGAGAGAGGGAAATGGAGACGGAGACGGAGACAGGGGGTCTCTGCAGCGCGAGTCTCCGCTGACTGCACGCGCACCTCCCCAAACGGACGAGGCGTTTATACTCGACGCGCTCGCCATTGTACTATTCTGTGAAACGACGGGGCGACTCGAGTAATTGTCCTCTTAACCATCAGGAATCAACGGTGAGAAGAAGAAAGGTCCACACGTGACGATGTTTATTTTAGTAGGCTACATCACCACCAATAACACTACAAAAAGAATCGTGTACGTAAAATCCAGTAAACCCTGAGATTATTACTTGTGACATTAGAACAAAATGTGGATATAAAAACATGTATGTAGACTATAGAACTAAATCAACGATCTCTTAAATAGTTTCTAATTTCACTAAACATTTCATTAAGTTTCGTGGACATTTTATAAAACATGGATATTTCTATTAAAAATGCTTATTATGCTATTGTAGGCTCATTTTGTAAACATAAGCAACTGATTTAGACACGCAAACTGTGTGCCGGTGCGGTCACGGTGAGACGTAGGCTACATGCTCGGGCAGATTCGGCTTCTTGAAGTCGTTCATCCTCGGATTCGGCGCCGCGCGCGCTGTTACAAAAACTCTTCTCAAGTCTTGGAGCACAGCAGGTAACACAAAACAAAATGAACAGGCTTGTTGCAGGGTTCATTGTAGAGGAATGCTTCCCCTGCCGACTATTGAATCGCCAAGAAAAATGCATTTTAAATTAAGATTAAAAATGTAAAAGTGACCTTTATTTTATTATTTTTCATTGACCACTTCATTTTTTTTTTTTATTGCCATGAGTCGAATAAAAAGCTTGTTTTGTTCTCAGGAGAAGAGTTTATTCTCATGTTTCCCAAAGCCTGTGTTTTAAAACTTGTGTGTTGACCCCATTTTAAAATGACCGCACCATAGCCTCCTTTATCCTGTTGTTTGTGGATTTTACAGTGAGATATATTTCCTTGTGCAGACAGGGATATTGTTCTTTCATATGGTTTTACATGCCATTTTGTATATATTTATACAATAAACACTATGTAGACAGGCTAAGTGATGATAGGGCTATGATATTTGTCCATAAATTAAGAAACGGGAAAGTAAAGTAATAAGTAGTGAAGTTACTTTTCAAACGCAGTAACTAGTAAAGTAATCTCATTACAATTTACAGAAGTAACTAGTAACTAGTAACTAATTACCTTTTTTGAGTAACTACCCCAACACTGCCCCTCATAGTACAGTAGACTACTAAGAATGGGGGGTAACGTGTATGAAAAGCGTCAAACTGCAACACTTATTTTTAAATGCCATTCTTCATTTTCTTTATTAATATAATATATTAAAAGCTTTTATAATTGAAAATATAACATCAATAATAAATTAAATAATAAAAATTAAATAATGTATTTTCTAATATTTATTGTAATTATAAATCAAACATACTTGTTACAGTATCTAATAAAATAAAGATTTATTATTGTTGTATAATAATATAAAAACAAAATTTGTTTTCTAACAATTTATTCTTGTTGATGTTATTAAAGATAACAAACATAAGATTTCTGTCTCATAATAATAATAATAAATTGAATTTGATATATCTATTATCATATATAATAAAACATAACAATAACAGATTTGACAATAATAACAACCACCATTTTTTCTAGTAATAACAAAAATATGAATCATCTTTTCTTGACAGGTTTTGTGAGATTCACTACATCTTGATTGTGAGTTGTGGAGCACATTTTGGGTCAATGTTTAATTACCGTCCATGGAAAACCAGTCAAAGTCTCGTTTTACTGTCTTAAAAGACATTTGTGACCATGTAAAATCCTGAGGGAATATCAATCACACAAAGACAGTAATAACTGTCCATGTCATGCCAAGATCAGACACACTCACACACAGAAGTGACAAAGGCTGCCAAACAGTGAAAACCAGCCATTGGAGTTAGTGTTAGCATTCCCAGCATGCACCGGGGCAGAGCCTTATGAGAGACAAGCAGAAGTCACCACCGGGTGACATTTGGCATTCGCTCACCAAACCGTGCAAAACTAAGCAATTGATACATTTTCTATATGTTGTTTGAGCATAGAAACGACACTATTTACTTTATTTGTCAAACCCTGAAAAAGCAAAGTAAATGAAGAGGAAAAGGAGAAAGGGATAACCGTTGAACTTCTGATTCCTCCTCAGAAAAACCTGTTCATGGGAGAGAATCGGTTAGCTTGGGTTAGTCAGTGAGGTCAAGCAATTCAGTGCAGAAACACCTGCTGGACACACACACACAGGCGACTACGTGGCCGTAATTCACATCTGTGCAGAAAACAGAGCCGAAGACGTCTCTTCCGGAAAGAACGGACAAAGAGCTGAGAGACAGAAGAGGCCAGACAAGCTCAAACCCAACAGTTACTGAACACAGAACACCCTGTCGAGTGCCGCCATAGCTGTGTGGAGGTGTGTGTGGAGGTGTTCACACAGTCGGGCCGTGCAGTTATAGCCAACAACATGCACAATGTCTGATCGTCCAGCAAAACAAGTTAATCCTACACACAGGTCTCACACTCACACCACATACACACACACGCTCGCAGATCCCTTTTCATGTTCAGGTGGGAAAAGGGAATGAGAGGAGGAATTAAAGAAAGGAAGAGAGGAAGATAATATTTGAATATAGACATGGTGAACAAAAATAGAATGAGATTTCAGCACTGAAAGAAAAAAATTATGTTTTCTTTTAACCTATATCATGCATTTAACGAAATTATAGAAACTTTTTATGTAAATGAGATTAATGAAAGAAAGTCAACATGAGATTAAAAGCCAACATGAAATAAAAATGGACCCCATTTACTTTTATCCTATTTAAGTTTGGGGTGAGGAGGATGGTTGTTTTTAAAGAAATTAATAGTTTTATTCAGCAAGAATGTATTACATTTATCAAAAGTGACAGTAAACATTTATAATGTTAAAAAAAAGCTTTCAAAATGCTGTTCTTTTGAACTTTCTACTCAAAGAATATATGTTTCCAGGAATTCACAAAAATATTAGGCAGCACAACTGTATGTAACATTGATCATTATAAAAGATATGTTTCTTGAGCATCACATTTCTGAAGGATCATGTGACACTGAAGACTGGAGCAATGATGCTGAAAATTCAGCTTTAATCACAGGAATAAATGACCTTTATAAATATATTAAAATGCAAAACAGCTATTTTAAACTGTAATTTAAAAAATGTTCTGTGTTTTTGATCAAATAAAATACAGCGCTAGCGAGCATAGACTTCTTTCAAAAACATGTACCTGACTTTGTTTCTTAAACTTCAGAAGTGATTGTAATTTATTACGAAATGAATTAAAGGTACATTCAGTAATGTTTAAATGCATTTAATTTTACACATCAACCTTTTATGTAAATATTATACTGCTTGAACTCTAATCAAAAGCAGCACACAGAAAATTAGCTAAATTAAGATATTGTATTTTGCTTCCAATATAAAATTGCAAACTTATTCTGAATGGGACATAAAAACAAGATAACCCAGAGGACAAAATAAAAGTTTTTATAATCATTCATAAAGATGTAGCAACTAGAAAGCGTGAGAAAGACTTAGAAGAGAAAGAGAAAGAGAAAGAGGGAAAGAAAGAATGATAAAAGAGTAGTGAATGTAACCTGCAAGGTAAAGAGAGAGAAGGAGAGAGAGGGTGATGTAGCGTGATGTAGTGATGATGATGATCATGATGATGATGATGATGATGATGGTACCTGCGCGCTGGGAGGGAGCTGGAGCTGGACTGAGCTGGATCACGATGACTAGATATAGAGGAGAAAAAATACACACACACTCATTACTAAAAGCCCACACACACCTACAGGAATCACTGTGTCCTCTTCAAATGTTATGATTCACCGGCTTCAACACGAGCACACTTGACTTCACTAAGCCTATTTAATACTGACACCACCTAAAAAAAACACATCCAGCTAATGACAGAATCCGATATAGGGGGGAAATTGTTAATGACGCCGAATAGGTTTAAATATGGTCATTTTTCTTTCGTCTGAGAAAGCACTACACCATTTTTAGTATCTGAAACCATGATAAATTAAAGGGATATTCTACCAAAAAATGTAATTCTGTCACCCTAAATGTAGTGCTGGTATAAGCTATTCAAAAAAAAAATTGACAATATTTTGCCTTTTCTAGGAAAGAAAGTCAATGGCCTAGGGGGGGGCGGGGGGGTGTTATAACATTACAATTTTCATTTTTGGGTGATCTGTCCCTTTAAATTGATTAATCCAGTGGTTTCCAAACTTTTTCTGCCAGGCGTCCCTTTTGTAGAGAAAAATATTTTCTAGCCCCCCAATTAGGCTACATGCACCCATAAATACACACGACCTTGCTTGCAAAATCCTATAGGATTTATTAGAAATACTATAAATACAGTACTACAACTTCTCAACTTCAATGGGCTTCTCTTTGTGTTGTGATGTGAAGTCTATATGTGCCGTTTTAACTTCGGCTTCATACTGTCAGAGGCTAACATTTTGAGGCACACAACACACTGCGGTCGCTCTTCATTACCCACCGTTGTACTGGTGAATCCCAGGGCAAGATATTGCCTCTTGTCTTGAGGCTGTCTACATTTGACTGTATACACTTCTTCAATCATGCCATCTAGTTGTCTGTTATTCCACGACAACCAATAACAGGCCACTCAAACGGGTATTGTGAGTAATCTTGAGGTAATAAAATATATCAAATTTATATTTTGTTCTCATTTACTTATGTTGCAAGTAGACACATAAGCAGCGGGGTAATTTCGCAGTGGGGTCTTGACTCACCCTGAAGAGCATAACAATCTGCTGACTGTACACTATCCCTTAGTCTTAAGCTGCATCCGAAAAACGCATACTACCCTGCTATATACAAAAGTATGTGGCAAAAGCAGTATGTCAGAATTCACAGTACTAATAAAAGATACAGGCAAAAAGTCCTTCAGGCGAGATTCTGAAGTGCGCATACGATGGACAGGACACTTTACTATCCCAGCTTCAGCTTCCAAGGCTTTAAGCAATTGTAAGCACACTGTTAATACTGTTGTCGGTTTTACCATATGAGTTCGAGCCCGGATTCTCAGAAGCAGAAAAGCGGAAGATCAAGCAGATCGATAAGAACCAACTTGCAAGTACGCCTGCCTTGAGACAGTGGAAAGTAGTCTTTGTATATAGCCGGCGTTGTACTCTCCCAGGTTCAGGTCAGGAAGCCGTCCTCTGTAAAATGTGCTGTGCACAAGCAAACTTTTGGGTTGTACTGCTCAAGAAAAGCTTTAGAAATAAATATTAACCTCCGATACCTAATTTCATCCATTTTCAGAAGGCCAAACAAAGCGGTTTTGCTTTCGCTCCAAACACACAGCATCTCCTAGACATGCAACAACACTACAACTCACTGAAGCCTCGTCTTCTTTCTTTGCGTATGCCATTATGCTAATATTTTACATTGTGACATAGATGTTTGAGGAAGTAACATCTGGACTTGGATCAAGGCAGGGAGACTGAGCTTTGCAGATCATATACATGCACAAACAGATACATTACACAATAAAGGAAAAGTAAAACATTAAAAAGCATTTAAAAAAAACTCTTTAAAATGACTCTCAGATTATTTACTTTTCACTGATAAAAACAGCAAACATTAGTGAAACTATTTTTTTCCCCTGAACAACATTTACCATGCCAAATGTAAATATTGGATAAGGAATTAGTTTACACAGACATGCTGTCTACCCGCTTCAGTTACTGTCTATGACCATGTAACAGAATCAAGAGACTAAATTATTTCTGCATATTATAAATACACAAGCTGACAATCTGAAAGTGTTTATGATTAGGGTAAAAAAGAGCCAGCAAAAGGCAACAATTGACAGCAATAGTGAGTGTCCAGGAAAGTAATGTACTGGGACATCAGCACATCAAATTAAACACACTATCAGTGAATATTTCTGTGTGGAGGAGGTTTGAGAACAGATATATCACTTCACTTTCACAGGAACAACGCAAATCTTTCACATAAAACGAATGTTAAAATACTTTAAATTATCTGAAATACACTCCTAACATGATCCCTTCATGTCTATAAAAACCACTACAACGTGGCCATGGTTTCAAGACAATCCAGACAAAAGCTTAAGACATTAAATTATAAAGGAGAACGAAAACATGCATTTTCTCATTCTCTAAATACAGACCAGAGACAGACAAGAGAAACACCAAACCAGCAATTCACAACAACAAGTCTGCCATGACTGATGACTTTACAACACTAAACACCAATAGCATCTCTAAATGATGATATTCCAACGAATATTGTGTGAGAAGAACATACAAGGAGAATCTGACAGACATACAAACACACAGATAAAAAGATACAACAGTCTTTCGGACAGATAGGAGGGAATAAGACAGACATTCAGTGAGAATGATATGCGAGTATCAGGGCCTGCTAAACAACTAGCCGCCAGGCTAATGCTAGTGAGCTGACTGCCAGATATTTTATTTATTTATTTTAAATAACAAATCCGTAGTAAACAATTTGGAGTACAAACCCTGGTAAACAGAACCCCCCAGACCTTTACCAGCGAATCCTAAAAGTGAATGTGAGTGAAGTGTCAGGATTTTATCGGTTTGTTTATATCATGTAGAACGTATTTCATCTCTCCGTCGTTATGATCATTCACGCGTTCACTCTCTCAAACACTCACTTGGCCTCGGGCGCGTCCGCTGCGGGCTCATGTCGATGTTCAGGTCGATTCGTTTGCGGGCTTCTTTATTTTCCTGCTTGAGTTTCTCCTCGATTCGGGAGAGTCTCTGCTCCAGCGACGACATCTTGAAAACTTCAGCGGCCCCATCAAGCGCCGCGACTCACTGCTCTCTAGCGGCGCTGTTGAGGAAACACACCGCGCCTTCACAACTGCCCTCTGGCGACCAATGAGGGAAACCGAGCCGAAGCAAAATACCGGTAGGCTAGTTTATATTTCACAGCAAAATGTATAAAGTTAGCTCCCACGGGCACGGACACGGACACGGACACACAGACATAATACGAATAATACGAATTCATCACTTTCAAACAATCACTTTTCATCAATGTCTTTTTAAATGTACGCTTTATTTTATAATATTTTTTTACTGTTCCTGGTACTTTTTCCTGACATTATATGGAATTGATGTTTAGGCAATATTCTTTGCAACCTGGCTGCTTTAAGGCAGGGTAGGTGATTTGTTCCAGAAAATTATTTTTGTTATGTTAGTCTCTTCACATACTGATAGCAATCACTAAGTTAAGTGGTCTTAATGTATTTATATTGTCTTTGGAAGGCATATGATCATAAAATGTTCGTCCAATCATTGCATTCGGTCCGAATGCAATGGTACAATGTCCTACCTTCCTGTCAACATATGTATTTCCATACCTCCACGCACCAGCTCGTGTAATCATCAGAGCGGCTCATGCTATGCAGAGTTAGACAGACGTCAGTCACCGAGCACTGTCCGCAATCGAAACAGCAGACTCCATCAGTTCCTCCTGACCAAAACAACAAGCTTATGCTGCATTCATGCCATAACTACTGTAATTTGGAAGAGATGGAATCCTGCTACGTTATCCTCGGTGCGGTTCGTTCGTGCAATTCAATGGCAACACTATCAACGCCGAAATGGATCTGCAGCAGTCTGGTCTGGTGGTACAAGTTAGTGCTCTTCAAGTTACATTGATTATTATTGTATTGTCATGTGATTTGATACATGAGGTAGTTTAAAGGGGTCATATAATGGTACATGCACTTTTACAAGTTGATTGTACTGAAATGTGTGTTGGCAGTGTCTGTACACAACCATCATATAATGATAAAAATCCATCCAGTGGTTTTGTTTTAATCTCCTTATATGTTTTCCCCTGCCTCAAATCGAGCCGTTCGAGCCTGTGACGTCACACGCTCGCACGCCCCTCCCGCGATTGTTGAATGACAGCAGCGTTTCAACACAGACCCGGAGCTGTCAATCATAGTCTGCGCGGCGCGGACCGGCGCGGTCATTGTTGATATGCTGGAGCACTGTCTATGAGCAGAATGGCGTCTAAGCGATTGTGGTCTTCTGTTCTTGGGTGTAATAACGAACACAGTCATTTTAATGTTCCTAAATCCAAACCGCTGAAGACGCAGTGGCTGTGTTTGTTTTCGAAGGGAATATTCCCCACGAGCAACGTCAATGCTTTCATGTTTGCGCGAATCATTTCACACACCAGACTGCTTTATAAACGAGGATCAGTATAAAGCTAGATTTGCTAAGAAGCTGCTCATGAAAAAAGCATCGGTACCAGATATTCGTGTTCCTGCTGAATCTCCAGAAGAACGGAAGTGAGTGTAACGTTTTATTAAACTTTATTAATATATTAATCTTTGCAAATCGCTAGCTGCACGCTTCACAATGAATGCGTCTAAGGTTTACACTCAGGGTACATTACGGCATGTTTTCTATGTATGACGTTCTCAATATAATTCATAATCCCACGTTTATACTGAACAGCGCGTTATGGTTATTGTGTTATTGTGTTACAAATGGTGTATGCACAGAACAGAGAGGCGGGGTGAGCAAAGCTCATTATCATTTAAAGTCATATGCACTGAAACGGCGTGCTGAAAACAGAGCTGTTTAGTAGGGTAGGAAGGGGGGGGGGGGGTTCACCTGCACCCGAAAGATATATTTTTTTAACCTAGTTTTTTGTAATCCTTAAGGTGTCTAGAAAAGGAATTTTGATGTTCCCCACGCCAATTATTGTCCCATATGTGATTTTTTTGTATCATCTTTTGTGTCCGTGCTTGATTTTCGGCTGCGGAAAATGAAAACTTTAAATCTACATAGAATCTGAACAATACATCCTACAGACACAATCTACCCCATTTTCTCTTTGTCTTTGCATGAGGAATTGATAGATATAAGGATTGTCATGATTAGATGATGTATAGTGCATAAAAACTCAAATAAACACCAAAAAATGTAAAAAAAATGGTAACATTGGACCACTGGAACTCCTCCCCTATGGACCCCATTGATATATGTATTCTAACTTTTGTATTTTTACAGTCTTTAAGATGTCTAAGAAGCAAATGTTGATGATCCCCACCTGAAATATTGTCACATGTATGTATTTTCTGGCTATATTGGTTGCCACCCTGGATATCCAAAAAAGAACATTTACATAGGCAGTCTGTTTTTTCTCCTTTAGTTTTTGATTTGATAGATCTCTTCCATTTTCCATAACTGGCTATATAAATTGTTGTTGAGCACATTACTGCTAGTTTCCAACGTCAATTGTTGCACATTAAAAATATAACGTAGATATTTTAAATAAATAATACATTTTAAGATACAATGTGTTCAAAAATATACATTAATTAAAAATTACATCGTGTAATCAGGATTCACTGGTAGTGTGAGGTTTATTTAACATACATTTTTAAACTAACTACACATACATAGCCTACATGATGCACCAACACACAATTAGAAAGATCTTTCTTGAAGAGCATGTAGCATTATGGAAGCCCACATTAACTGGCAGATATTGGCCTCTCAAGGTTTCTGTTAAATTTAAGTTAAATTTTGCTATGGCTTTTTCAGCTATTAAACTCTCAGAAGTGTTGAGGTTAACCCATTTCTTTGCACACTGAACAAAAGATGCCCAACTCATTTGAGAAAATAAGGTTTTTGGGCTTTTTGCCTTAGAAGCAACATGTATACAGCAGTTCATATTGTCGCCAACCTGCTGTCAATCACATCCCGCTTTGTTGTTATGCGGTGTATGTAAATAAATTAGGTGATAAAAGAGGTCTTCTGACGGTAAGTGCACAATGTATAGTATAGTTCGTGTAGACAAAAAGCATATAAAGCCTATTTTAATAGCAGGATTTCGTTATCAAGAGAGCAACGTTACAATATCAACTATGCTGGTGGTCAGGGAGATGTGACAGGTTATCAAGGAGACGGGTGATTTGTTTACGTTTTCTGACTCTACGATTTAGTAGTCCTACAAATGTGCATGCTAATCATCCTCAAAAAAGAGAAGGGAGATATCGATGGTGAGTCTGAAAAATATACTCCTCTACCAAGTTTGAAGCTGCCTTGAAGACATTAGGGAAAAAGAAAGTCAACACTTTTATACTATAATAGCTAATTGGCTAGTTGGTGATCATTGCTAATCTTGCCCAAGTCAAAGTCTAAGTCAAGGAAACCCAAGGAAGAAAATGATAGTGAGTCTGAAGAGTTTAATCTTGCTACAAAGAAATCCAAGAGAGATGATGGTGTCAAATCAAAAGACCATGGTCCTGAAAATTGTATTTTACATATCTTTGAGCATGCAGATTTCACACCACTTAGTAAGATTAAAGGGTCTGCTACTGACAAGCTAGCTCTGCTACACAGCATTTGTGATAGACGTCTCCAAGAAGCTCTTGATTTGCAGTTTCACATGGATCATGTCTGTAATCTCATTCCAGAGTCTTGTAGGTGCCAATTTAGAAACAACTGGCTATCATCGAGCCTGCTACCAAAAGTTTACAAAGAACCAGGGACTCTTACAGGAAAGACCTACTGTGACTGTCACGAACACACACAGGACGAGGGAAAATCCAAGTGCAGTAATTTATTAAGAGGGCAATCCAATATCGTTGTAATCCATGCAGAGGTCAAATATCCAGAGAAGCAATCCAAAAACAAGAACGGGTATAAACAGACAAGAAGTGTGGGGACACCAAACAACGACTCCGTGACACATAAAGACACAGACAGGGAATATATACACAAGATCTAACAAGGACTAACAAGAAACAGCTGGTTACAATGAACGGGGAACAGGTGAGTGCAATAACAGTGATGGGTACAGACTAGGATTGTGGGGAATGTAGTTCAAGAAGGGATGACACCGTGGGGAAGAGGACCTCTAGAGGATACCCGGGGAAACACACCCAGACACTGTGACAGTGACATCTCAGCAAGCTTCAACATCACGCTCACCACGTAAATGTGGGTCCTCCACAGCTAAGCAGCTGTTCCCCCCAGAGTGTATCTTCTGTGGAAATCTGGAAGTAAAAGTATTGGGAAAGACCGAACGATGCATCAAGTTCCCAGTATATAAGGCTAAGGACGGAGCATTGAAGGAGCCTACATGGAAACAGATTACGCCTCAAGCCTATGAACTTGGACTTCACCGTCTACATCACATGGTGCAAGGTGAGGACCTTTTTGCGAGAGAAGCAAATTACCATCAGTCATGTCGCAAGTCATTCAACCTGAAATATGCAAACCATATCACATCTCGAGGTAAAGCCCTTGCTACCAACCCTGTCAGTGAAACAGAGCAGACTACCATGGCTGCTGCACATCAGATGTCATTTAATGCTGTACTTGATGTCATTCAAGATCAAGTGATAAGACAGAGCAAGATTGTGCGGCTTGCATCACTGCGTCTTATCTACACCCAAGAGTTGGAGAGAAATGGCTTCCCCAATCCCGAGTACAGAAGTGAGAAACTGAAGAGAAAACTTGAGAAGCATGAGGGGATTGGCATTTCTATGGTCACAGCAGATTTGAAGGGTTGTATCACCCATAGCTTGATATTCAGTGCTAGCTTATCCATCTCAGATGCAGTGAGAAATGCATATGAGATGGGGAGCACGGACAAGTATGAAGATGTGGCCCTTCTTCTTTGTGGTACAATCAAGAAGACGTACAGAGAGTCAAATTCTCTTCCTTGGCCTCCCAAAGCTGATGATCTGGTCATGTCCTTGGATGACCTCCTCCCATCTAATCTCACGAGGTTCTTCTTGACCCTCATGATTTCTGGTGATGCTGACTTGGAGAAGAGTGAGAAGACAAGACGCCT